ATAAAAATACTGAACAAAAACATGTTCATATAATTACTCTGGAACTTACTCACCATCTACGTCAAGCACTGCTTCCCATTTGCTAGATAGTCGGATTCCAAAGGCGAAGAAGTTTTGATCCCTGGGGGCGATCCACGCCTTGACATCGGCCATCAGGTCATCCAAATGGACGTAATTTCTATTCCCTAGCCATTTCTTCAGCGAACGGTTGACGAAATAAACCGTAGAAGGTTCTGTTGGTGAATATGGCATATTTAGGAGCAGATCCCATTTCTTGGTTGGCTTTGGCTGATTGTTCCATCGCCAAAAAGTTCCTGAGATCGCGGAATGACTCTGCCACTTTCCAACCTTTCCCGAAGTAGTAGAGCCTAATTTCGCGAGTATGCGGATGATTTTCCAATTTTCAAAAAAAACCCGAACTCAATATTCAAATTCCGTCGAGAGAAAAAAAGCCGTGAAAAAATCCGAAATAACTATACATCAACCTAATATTTATTTATTTATTTACTTATTTATCTAGACAATACACCCAAGGGTGTGCCATAAACACAAGAGCAGAAATATTGGTTGAAATTTGTTCCACAGTACTGCGAACTTTGCTTTTCCGAGTTTATGCATAGGTTTTTCTTGAGTGTATAAAGACAAACGTCCAATTATCAAAGATGAACGTGTGGCTCGAGTTCAGAAAAAGATAACGACAAAGAAAAAACGAAACGAGAACGAACAGAAAAAGCTGAGATGTTACAGTAAAAATTCTTTGTGAAGAAGTCAGGAAGATGCTGATGGGGAAAAGAGAGACGACAGCATCGAAGACTCTTTGGTGAGTATAAACACAAAGGGGCCTATGGTCGCCATAAGGCAAACCAAATGAGTGATTTCAGTGATTAAAGACGTGCTCTATTCCAACGGACCGACCGATCGACGGCTCTGATGGCCACGCCATGGTAAAGCTGGACATCGATTGATACCGCTCAGGCAGCCCTAAGCGCAATCCGGTCTGCGTTGTCAATACGTGGCCAGCAACGTCACCGGTCGGTCGGAACGCAATTGTGTGAAGATTTCGTCTACAACTGGGTCGCATCTAGGCTTTGCTAACGCTGTGCGACCGTTCATGATTATTCCATGTTGAAAGCTTACGTTGGCATGGACACTATCAATGATACCACTGGTTTATAAGCCTTTTCCTCATGATTTCTAGCTCACTTCAATCCGATCGCTAAGCCTGCATGGTCGACTGCAACAAGCTATTGGTTGGTGGAGAACAAGCCAGAGTTCAGCCTTTGTGTGCTAAGCTGTGCTCCTAATTGTTATTGCTTTAGTTCGTGTTTATACTTTTCACTCACTCGTTGTCAAAGAAAAAAGAAGAAGGATCGAGACCGAAGGCTCCAAAACCACGAGCTATAAGTCTTAGTGGTGTGATTTGTTGCGGAAAAGCTGTTGAAAATGCTGTGGTTGTTCTCTATGGGAAAATAGGTATAGTTCTTTTCAACGAACTTCCTTTGTTCAGCCTCCCGAGTGAAACGATCTCATAGTTCACATAAAACTCTTTTCCAACACTAACTGGGAGCAATGTAGTAATGTGTAGATTTGAACCTACAGGAGTCCCACAATTAACCTGCTAACCATATTTCATGCCGATGTTGAAGTTGACAAAGCTTGTAAAAATAAAAACTTTTGATGTCAAAGCGTCAGAAACGACACGGGATGATCCGTATCTGACGGCATTCACTTCTGAAGCACCTCGCGCGTTGAAACAACCAGCCCTCTCGACAAGACAGCTAGCTAGTAACAGTCGCACTTTGCATATGAATAAACAATGCTTATCACCCCCAGTTTCGCATTTCGCAGATGTTTGATGCAGTTATCAAAATGAATAAGGATTGAAGTAGCACTAAACGACGAAGAAGAGTTCGTCTAATGGATTGCGCATTGAAGGAACATGGCGTATCGGTGTACTTTTGCATGTGTGTTGCGTCGCAATTCAGGTCAGGACCATTACGAGGATTACTGCACGGTATAGTTTGCAGGCAAGCCACATTATTCGACCCCGGCTTCGTTTCCTATGCGCCAATATCAAGCTACAACGAAGGCAAGCTGGAAACATCTAATGTGAACCATGAAAATAACTACAGAGGGGACCACGCCTCCCCAAAAGATTATCGTCGGCGATTCACATTCGTCTTTGTTCTTTATCGCCACACTCACTGCAGTTCATCTTGTCATGCCTCACCAGTCAGAGATCAGCATTCTTTACTGGATTGATGTGCATGCAGTCAGATCAGATCAGCGCTTTGGCAATGCTCGAACTTTCTCGACACACACAATAGTAGAAGAGAGTCCGGAGTTTCGAGCCCATCAACGAACGAGGATAGGAGCGCTCTTGCTGTGGCACAAGGACCCGAAGATCAGATGTGCAGGACGTTGCGGTCACTGACTGATTACCAGCCTTCTTTTCCTGCAATGCAAAGAGAAAGAGCTTACTAATCAGTGTGTAGAGTTTATAGTGCAGGTTATTCGATACTTCCAATTTCGGGAGAGACAATTGATGTATGATCAATTTTACCTTCAAAGAGATTGTCGTAGCAGCTGCATCGTTTGCACAGCCCCCACCTCCCCTTTCAATGGACGTAACTTCTAACCGCTTCTGTTTAGGTGAAGAACGTATCAAATTTCACCGAGTGCGTACAAACTCGTACGGCCAGTTTATGGTTCACGGGATACATTATCTACAACCCGATGATGAAGATCTGAAAGTAGAACCGGCCCTTCGCGTTAGCTACAAATGTGGTGAATACGTGGGTTCACATTGATTAGTTTTGACCAATAGATTAAAGTCATTATGCCAAGCTCAGATTTTGGTATTATTCAAGCCACTAACTATTCAAAAATCAATCCTTACTGTAGTGAAGCGCTCGCTCTGTCTGTCTGTCTGCTTGTCTGTCTGTTTGTAGGAAATTCTATATTACATGTCGAAGCTCTGCCCACAGTGGGCGAGACGTCCATTCAAATGTTGGATCCTTTTTTAAAATTCATAACTAATCAAAAACGTCATACAAAGCGAGAAAACAGTGGTTGGAGGTCATGGAAGGAGTGTGGCCAACCCGTCGAAGTAGGCGGCGTGCACTATGTATGGTGAGCGGGGCTAAGACCAAAAACTCATAATTTTGTTTAGAACGTTCTAGAATGCCGAGAAAATGGCTAGGGACAGCTAAAAGAGGGGTGGTCAAACTTTTATGTTAGGAGGGGTCAGCACTGAAGTATAATCAGCCGCTTATAATTCTGCACCAATAAAATATCGCGCGGATGCCCTGACAGCGGTCCCGGCCTTCGAATCTAGAAAAAACTGTCTCATTCTTATACATCAGATAATCCTCTGCATGACTCCATCGCAGATGAGCGGTGGATATACAATATACGCGTTAGCGTGCATAGCCCGTCTGGTGACACATATTGTCTATTTTAATTGGCTCTGTACAGCGTTTTAGAATTTCGCTATGCAACTGGGCGCACTCGTAACTCGTCGAATTCAAAAAATGGCAGAGTATTATGAGCTATGTGCATGCATTCCCTAAGCCTTTCTTGGGATTCTGAGCCTACCATGAGATTCAGCTTTTTGAAAAGACGGGCGGCTTCTGCGAAAGGTCGCATTGATCCCGCTCCCCTCATAAGGTACTTTTATGAAATTCCACAGCGGCACCCATCTATGCCGTCCATCATCTCACCTCTCTCCCGTGACCATCTGGTTGGTTACACAACCACTTAATCACGATGGAGGGGTGAGATGATGGCAACGGTGTGGGCCTCTGTGGCGTTTCATAATAGCATAGCACCCATTTATTAAATGATTTCAATGAAATTCTGCTCAGCTCGACGTCAAATCTCATTTTCATCTTTCAGTAACTGAAACCGTCCCTATCTAGTGCTAGAATCCTTTTACGATGCTCTTCACATTGGGTGATTTCTTGAAGCCGGACGGAGGTGATGTAGCCGACATCTGTGAAGACCAGCCAAGCTTGTCATCTCTCTGAAGCATGCCGATTGGCACGACCCCGCCTCAGAATAAAAGCTCTGAAATAATCACCTGTTGGCCACCACAGGTCATTGTGTGTGTCACAAAAGTAATCAAAACCCTACCACGATTCTAAACCTAGTTCGGATGCAGAGCGCATTCCAAAAGCGGGATTGATTGACCTCAAAAATTCAATCCTTTATTCATCTAAACTTTGAAGCCACACTAAATGTTGCTGTCATTGTATGGTAAGCAATGAGCACTTGATGTGAAGCCGCTGGTTTTAGGTTTTCGCAAAAAGAATTCATAACGAATTTGAAATGAAACCAAAGAAACGTTTTCGATGGTGTTGGCATTTAGCATTAGAATTATACAAAAACATTATTTGTTTTTTCAGTGCGATTACTTCTACGACTTGTTCAAACCGGAATTCGGAACTGATGTAGAGGAGGTACAGCCAGAGGGTTACTTCGTTTGCCATCAACAACTTCTCCGATACAGCTGGCACAATGCTTGATGCCCCGCAAATCGAAGAAGTTGGCAGAAGCATACGGCACTGCTCATTGGTTGTTTAGTGTATAGGCAATTTGCAGTCCGAGAACTCAACCAAGGGAGGAAAAGCCCTAACATCGCTGGCTTCGCCTCCACTTTGCATTGGGCTCGGCATGAACCCTGTCTGCATAAGATGTATGCCAATAAAAGTTATTTTAGGTTCATGATCTCGGTGTAATACAGCTCACACGTCATAGTAGTAAGGTAAACATTACTCCTTGTCCTAAAACTGACGAGGAAGAAGATGAAGAAGAAGAAGAAGAAGAGTAATGTATTAGTGAAACCAATGAAAATTTTCACAGTTCAAACCGTTTCTTCTTTTTTGAATAAAAATTTTCCCCCGATAGATTGCAGCTGTCTGGAAAAGCTTTACTTGAAAACGCCACACTTAATTTATGAAGCTAGCAGGCTTTAGTGACACATTCTGAACATACAGTTCATAACTCGGCATAAAGAAGGTTTTCGAATGCTAGCAGACTTATTAGCCGCAAGGGCCATTAAAATTGGCGACAGGCAGAAAATCCAGTAAAAATGTAGTCGTGTACATAAATTGACCTCTTGTCACGGAGCCATTTGAAGGCATTGCACAGCTGTATTGCTGCTTATTACAACGACCGCTTGAACATCCTTGCTAACGGGAGCCCAACATGAAATCGAACTCGAATCACCATACTATTACATTATATTGACTAAGAACGTTGTCCCCAACTTTATGGCTTACGAGTCGGCCACCCGGCGGGAAATCGATGTGCTGTGGTGCCGCTGCGGATTGCTAGCACATTCGAGAGATCAGGTGGGATCGCAGTATCTTTTTCAAAGGCACAGTTCGCGATAGAAATAGTTTCCGAATCCTACTATGAATACCCAGCGGTCTCCAAGGGTAGCAGAATACACGCCAACAGCTAGGGCATAGTGGGAAACCCGTTACCAGATCGCCCGGACTTCCCGCCCTTCAATTGTTGTCACTTCAGACTAGTATCGAGGCGACACAGATTGCAAAACTCGTTCTAGGACCCACACACAGTAAGCTAATCGCCAAGCGGGGCAACGTTTTTTTCCCATTCTTTTATTCACTGTTATTCTTTGCTGCGAACCTTATTCAAATTGGAGGCTATTTTCACTGTTGCTAGGGTTTTTAACTTATGTTTTTGAGTGGATGAATCTTTGCGGACCGTGGTCAGCTCTTCGCACTAGGACCCACACGCAAGCAATGACGCACACTGTACGGCTGTCCAGCCCCCTTNCTTGAAGATTTTTTGAAGCCTTTGTCCACTTTGGAAACACGGATTCACGCAGTTTCTTCGCATTCATCACACTATTTTCCATCTTTCCTTTTTCGTCATAATGTGGTTTCATAATGTGGTTTACCCAAAATTATCGTGAACTGGATCTTTAAAGCTTTGTAACCACAGAAAATCTTTCTACCGTTACTGCTTGAGATATTTGTTCAGTGGAAATTCTCCGTCAGAGAGCTCGTGGAATTTGAGGCTCGAGAACAGTGCCAATAAGGAGCTCAAAAGAAAAGTGAAGGGACGTGTTCAAGAGGAACCCCTTCGGAACTAAGGCGACGGAAGGTGGCGACAGCTAACAAAAACAGCGAATCCTAGTTCTGCGCGGTATCAACGCTAGGGAAAAGAAGGAAAATGTGACGAAGAACTACTGCTGACCGTATCCTGAAATCAATCGTTGTTGCGATATGTTCGATATTTCGGCAGGGATTTCATCGTGTTGGTAAATGAAACTCTACGAAATTGGGTGGGAATTTATTAAAGGGGGTCGTTCATTTTGCGCCTTTGTCTGCACTTTTCCAGTCAGATACTATTCCATAGTGAGACACCTTTTCACTCGCTCCGACGCCTACTCCCTTCCTCCTCTCTCAGAATTTCATTTCCTTGTGTTGAAATCGCTTTTAGGCACCACGGCAAGCCAACAAAGCCGGCACCTTATTTTTCTCTGGCCTGACAATTGCAGCTACTTAAAGGAGCAGAGCATAACGGAATAGTTGTCTTTAACTACATTTTGACCCAAAATCGTTTATAAAAAAAGGTAAAAGATCTGGATGATACAAGATTGGCATATAAGGGTATGGGCTAGGGTGAAAGAAGGGGGAAGGCTGCTCCTCCTTCCCTGCGCCCTAACGCTTGGTGCTAGCGAGGAGTTCTGGTATCTCCTTCCCGAAAACGGCGTCGCCTTCGCCGCAGTCCCGCAGTTTGAAGAGAAAGGTTCTAATTCCCAGTGCTAGGATAGGGTAGCCGCCGCGGCACAGTGAGATGCCTCCCCCCTATAACTACATTTTCACTGGATGTGGCACAACAGGTGGAAGAGGCAGGAAAGGAAAAGATGGTGTTTGGGAACGGGACTGGGATACGCGGTCATCAAGGACCACGGAAAAAAACTCACTCGGTTATGGAAAACTATGAGGCAAGCGACACAAGTGGATAACCAAAATACATTAACCAAAATGGGATTCATGAAAACGGGCCACTGGGGTGAAGGTTCCGACGATAGAACAAGATAGAAGTAGAATGAATGGGATGAGAGAGCTCCAGCCTGAAATTCCCTGTCCTTACCCAGGGCTATGAAATAACTCAAGATCGCTCTGAAAGAGTCATAATTCGCGTCGTTTTCTGGCAAGGAGAACCCGCAGAACTACATGGGCTCGCGAGAGGCGCGAAGCCTGGAACTGGTTTCCGTTCATGGAATGCAAGGCTAACGGGACGACAGCTGATACATGCGACAACTACCAGAATAAACAGCTTTGCTCTTTCAAGCAACCACTGACTCCGCAGGAGCTGAGCTTTTTCGCCTACTTCTCGATCAAGCAGTACACGAATCAGCCGTAAATCACAGTCATTCTAGCATTTCTAAGGCAAATCCTATTCATCTTACGTTCGTGGAGACGACAAATGGGACGAACTTTGCCCTTCAGAATGCTCCTTATTTGAGGATCCATCGGATTTGAATACTTGAAAGGTAGATCTGCTTTTTCTCGGATGAACTAAACTTCAAGAAAACGCTGAAACCGATTTCGTTCAAGGGTCGCTTTGACAAGTCTTTGACTCTTTGAGACCAGTCCCCTCTTGTTAACGGGAATCTGGCAGACACCATCGCTCGTTTCTTTTTCTGGGTCAACGAAAAGATGCACATTTGGCTCAGAGGAAGCAACGACAGTCCGTACAAAACAATCTGTTGTTTTAGCGTGGCGGTTTTTGTACCAGAACTCTCAAGGCAGACGGCAATGGACTTGCAACGATTATCCTAATCTCTCCCTAAAGTTCAAATCTTTCCCATAGAGCGGCCAGCTTGACGCGTCGTTCCAGCCTGTCGAACGAGTTGCCACGTGCAGGTACAGAATTAAACACCCTCATGTTCGGATTGCCGTTAATGGCCCAGTTCTAGCGAACAGTCACAGCATCTGAGTAGGTAAGGAAAGATTTACAATGAACCATTCGCATTCGATATGAAGTTGAAGCTGTTCCGCAGCTCACTTCAATAAACATCGAAATCTTTATTTAACCCTCGATAAATATCCTTATACAAACTGCCGTTATCCGCAGTTCGCCCTAGCAGACAATGCTTGATTTCTGATTAGTTTGGAAAAAAACTGAGTTGTCGCAAATATCTATTGTGTATTTGATGTGTGCTGCGGCGTTTGTTGCGTTGGGGCTATACCACCAGGTGATGGAGGTATTGGGTCATCTCCGGGATCACCAGTTTCTTCGCGTTTCTGCTCCATCTCTTTTCTGACTTTTTCGAATTCTTGCGGTTTTAGCTGTACAAACGACAGTTCCAAGCTGGCATCTACCTGCAAACACAAACCGCTGAAACAGCTTTGTTCCTCACAAAGAGGATGATCAAATATGGCATTGAGGGATAGAGAACCAAGAGGCGAGCATTGACGAACCTTCCACTACACGCTGCACAGGGTAAAGAGCAAAAGATAAAGCTGAGCAGCTGCTAGAGTGGACGATATGCGGCATTAAAACGGCGAAGAATGGGAGTTTGCGCAAAAGTCTCGCCTATTCTGAGAACCCCGCCTTTTTGTGAATACGTCAACACGCCAAGGGAGCTCTGCAACCAGTCAGGATAAAGTATAGTTATAGACAAATCACGAAAGATAGTCCTTTGACGTCAACAAATATCATATGGGAATCGCCTCGCATTCGACCTCAATTTAGAATCGTAGCTATGTAATGAACGCGTATGTGATCCATGCAATGACTTGCGGTGACCAGTTGTAAAGTACGCTTTCATCCTCACAGACGAGTCCTTTACCAATTAATCGCCCATGAGGGGATGTAAGGCTCGGTTGGCCTAGGCGAACATCAAGCCGGAATCTTGACCATACATAAGTTATGGTACGCACTTCGCCACTACATCACCTCTGCCGTCAGGCGATAGTAGCGACAAAACTCCAATAGGGAAGCATGATGATTTGGTACTAACAAGCAGGAGCTCGTCTGAGCGGCTAATTTTTTACGTTCTTCTCGCACATCTCCTCAACAGTGCAGGAAACAGCAACATACCTTAACTACCGCTGCATAATTAACGAGTTCCTCATGATACCGGGCTGCTGAGAATACCGTAATCAGGGAACGACCGCAGAAAAACGCGTAGCCGAATTCCACCACCTGGAAACTTTTTGATAAATTCATTCTCCACTTGGGCGGTTTTACATGAAAGCTTCCATGATGGAACGAAGTTCCCTGCAACTATTGCGTTTGTTGCTTATCAAGCATTATCTCAAAGAAGATGAGTTATCGCTAGCACTTGTCACTTTATGTCAAAGCATCCGGCACTCGAAATTGGAATGAGACGGAAAGTTGGGAAGGGGGGAGGGGAGGGGCAGGTGTGGGGTGCAGTAATTCCAAAAAGATAAGTTGATTTGGAGTCCTAGCTCAGACGAGGTGTTCTGTCCACAACTCGTCTCCCTTGTGGTAGCATGTACCATCCCATTCGCTCCATGAAACAGATAGTTGGCCTTGCATGTACCTGATGAGCTCTGATGATGAGGTCGATGTTTAGTTGCTTACACTTGTCGCGTACCGTATCCTCACCAAAAATATGTGAAACGGCTCGAATTTTGTTTTGCTGAAAATACAGAATCAGTCAACCCGGCCCTAGCAATTGATACAATTCAATACCTGAAAGCCTTTTGTACCCGTTTCGGGATCAGCCCATAGCAGGTCCTGCGCCAAGCCACGCACGACTCGTAGTGGTCGTTGCAATTTTCGTATATCGTCGAGGCTGTTCAGACTCGGTGACAAACCTGGCATCATCCAAGTTAAAAGCTGAGAAAAATCAACTCGCAGGAGTTACTATTACTCACCACCATGCATACAAAGGATACGTCCAGCAACCAAAGCAGCCAGAGGCATCTGGGCGAACACCTCATTGAAGTGATCGTAAAGTGCCTTGGACTCAACCAAATTACGATATCGTTGGCGAATTTCTGCGTTGAAGCCATAAACCCTGAAAATATCTCAGGATACACTTTTGAAGGAAGGTGTGAACTACTTGGAATAGCTCAGGAGGCACACCAAGGTGGCTGTATGTTCATCGCCTTAAGACTATCAATCTTCGAAACTCTGAGAAAGAAAATGGTGATCCCAAAAGAACAAGCAGAGACGCTCCGGTGCAGCTACCGCGCCGGCGCTTTTTGACCCATACCCACTCATTACAATATCCACATTCGAGCACTTTGGCTGAAATTGGTCTATCCCGCTATATTTGTATGAAAACCATAGGGGTGTACCGATTCATGAGACTTCTTTGCTGAATTCTTGCTTTTGAGATTCACCAGTTCGCTCAGGAAAAGCACCCCATTATGTCGAAAGGAAAAAACCTACCGATTAATGTTTGATAGTTCATGATTCCCTCGTAACAGAAACACTTTCCGAGGAAATTGTATCCGCAGCGCTAGTAGAAGCATTATCACTTCGAGTGAATGCCTTCCTCGATCAACATAATCTCCGAGGAACAGATATCGTTGCTTGAAGGGTAACCCACATGCCTGAATGTTGGGGAAACGATAGAAGCCTTTAATAGTGCATTAACAAATTCTTTGGTTCATTGACGGAATCAGCATGGATACTTGTGGTACGGGCACCTTGAAATGATTATTCTTGAACGGAAACCTTCCACGTAGGGTCAAGTGCCGAGGAATCGCTGGTGGGGAAGCAAGGCGGAGTGTCGTACTTACTCACCACGAGAATTCATCGGGAAACGTCTCCCAAATCGTTTTCGACTCCACGATTACACAGATGAGTGCAATCATGCAGGTTGGGGCCACGATGAGCACACACACCTTCTGCGGTATTTATCATTCTATGCGTTCAATGCAGTCTGTACCACATAGGAGATAGGATTGTTGGGAAATGAGTTACTGCCAAGTTGTAATGACCACACCGTACGTCAATCGCTTTCTTGATCAACAAGGCTGAGTGTGGTGCTCAAGCACTTGAACTCTTTTCTTCCTACAGGACATGGTAGAGAGGAGTATGCCTTACAGCTAACAATAAAAGGGCAACGCCTAAGGCAAAAGAGAGAATGGCCGGAGGCTCACATTGAAAATCCGCATCAAATCACCATACTGCCCGTGAATATCGCCGCAAATGTTCACAGGACATCGTACTTCAAGCAGTACTGGTGAGTTCCTCATTTCAACGAGCGCTTTTTCAAGAATCAAATGGATTTCATACACCTGGAAAACGCCTTCATGGTTGTCTTGTACTTACCTAGTTGACCGAACCATCCAATTACAAATTACCAAAGTATAACTTCTATTCAATGAAAGCCGTTCACCTCGTAATTTTGCCGAGCAGCACCGGCTATGAAATGCTTTTTAATGAATTCTTTCATGTTAAAATTACTTCGTTCTTTATCAGTTATTGTGTAATCAATTTTGATAAATGCTTCTTTGTTAGCCAGTAAAGCGTTCAATTCTTTTTCCTTTGCCTGAAAATTGCAGATGAAACCTTAAGGACAGCACCAAGATCTTGATGACGTGATAAGAGTCGGTACCCTGATGAAATTAACATATGACGTGTGCCCGGCTACGAGTCCCTATGCACATGTTGAAGCAATAACGGAAGAAGAAGTTTCCAAGCTTCACATCATCGCATCTCATTTGTTTATCTATTTATATCATCAGATCGTACCGTATATGATCCATGACCGATACTAGAGTGCTTCAGAAGTCGGAGTCGCCAATAAATAAGGACGTTTCAGAAACGACTAGGAGGCAATATGTAGGTCTCTGCTGGTCGTTCTGCCTATTCTCAAAAGCACAGCAATGATGAAACGTTACGTGCCACAACCAGACCAGAACGGACGTCACGAACTTCATATCCGAACACCATCACTTGAAAGGGACAAGGATTTTCGGCAACTCGTAACGACGAACACTCATCCAGGTCTGGATCGCTCAATTGACTGCTGTTTCGAGTCAAGCCAGCCCAAGAAATTGCCCAGCAGAGAAGGATGCGATTACCTATCTCAACATTACAGGATAAACTCAATACATGACTGGAAGCAGTTTTCCAAAGAATCCGTGACTTCCAACTAAGGAAGTTCTAATTTACAGCTCGCAGTACCGCATCAACAGTAGAAGGTCATTATTGATGACCAGTATCGATTGATATCACAGTGCTGAACTGTGTCCTGGCAGCACCCATTGATAACTCAGTTCCAAGTTGCAACTCCATTATACGTATCCTTTACCATTTTATCACCAATGGCTAAGGGATTTAGGACCATCTGATCGAGCGCACTACAGGTCAATATCAATCGATATTGATTGATAGTAGTTGCGTGACAAAGTAGATGGGGGTTTTGATTCGCGCGTGTAGGTGCTTACAGTAACACGACACCAACCCATGTTATGTACTCACTCTCAACTGCTATTAGCTCAGTTTACGGTGGACCTACCATATCACTATCTCTATCATAATCATAAGACGGGCATACAAACTGACAGACCGACCCCACTCCCTTACACGTAAAGATTCCTGTTTACTGATAAGGAAGATAGACATCATTTTGAGCTGAACTATTACTACTTGCGGTTGGTATGTTGTTGGAAGTTAACTGTGACATTTTAAAGGATGGAGCATCCAGTTCAGAACCCAGTATTCAACGGAGCTTGCTGAAGGGCCAGGTAAGGTTGTGATTCAGAGCTTTCGATTTCCATATACTAACCATCAAATCTGAAAAGGAACTCCAGTATGCTCAACGGGTGCAATCGAAGGTCACGTACTGCTTGCTCAGACGATGGCGTTGTGGTTGCAGTAGAAGCCGCAGGAGTTGCAGCGGCAGATGGGCCATTTGTACCAGCAGCTGCACCAGCTTTCTTCTCATCAACAGCCGCTATAGCACTGTCTTCCTGAAATTCATCTCACTTGTGATGAATTGACACATCAACTGATTCTTATTGTTAGAACATCGAATTGAGCCATACCTCCTTGGTGTCGCCAGGTTTCTGTACCTTAATCTTCTCTTTCTTTTCTTCTTTCGACTTGTCACCAGTCTTGTCTGCCTCCTTCTCCTTCTTCAACTGGTCAATGTTCTTCTTGTCAGGTTCCTTTGACACGTCTTTAGTATCTTTAGAATCCTTGAGGTCTTTCGCTTCCTTCTTTCCATTGGGCTTCGCTTTAGCAGCTGCATCGACAGGGTCTGTCGTTTTGTTCTTCTGAACAAGTGCTGAAGGTTGAGCTGGTGTCGGACCCTTGGCGTTCGGTGCTTTGGCGGCACCAGCCTGCATCGCTTTCAACTGAAAACAGTACTCGTGAAGGCCACACCAGATCGTGGTAGTTAAGGCCTACCTAGTAATGTCAGTAGTAGTCAAAGTGACCTCACCGAGTTAGGGGAAGATATTTATACGACTGGTTGAGTGGTATCTTGGTCTGATCCTATCAATCTTTGAAACTCTGCAAAACAAGAGGGTCGCAGAAGAAGCACTTCAATCCTCGACACCGCAGTCAGAAACAGTCCGGTGCACCCAAAATATCTATACTAAGAGATATGTGGTCGCTAAGATTGCTTCCGGACAGAGCCCCAAAAGGCGAAAGTTGATTCGATGGTCTCACCCTACTATCCTGAATGTATCTGTTACAATGACCAATATCGCTCGAAGACAAAAGACCCTATGAAAGCTCAAGCATCATGGGGAAACATCATCATTCCTCCAAGTATTCCAATACTGGTGCCTGAATCTTACCTGCCTCATAACCTAAACCAAACAAACCTAGGAATTACCCTTGCACACCAACAGTACTCCTCAACACAACATGATTTCAAACCGTAGTCTGTAATGGTAAGCGATTGTGGTAAAGGAAACGACGGATGAATAATGGATTATTCAACGTCGTCAGTACCAAGATAAGTCTTCTGCAGTAATGCCTACTTGAACGAGGCCTCAGTAAAGCAGTCATACTACATCTTACTGGTAATCGATTCTCAAGAGCCAGGATAATTTTTTTCGATGCGGGGATTTGCTAGGGACTTACGATGTAAGTATGCAAAACTCCGTTCTTCGATCTACGAGGAAAGGTAGTGCACCGAATAACACTCAATCCTTAACCGCAACTTCTGTAAAATAACTAGCCAAAAAACTTTCTCCCGACTCCCCTCAGTCTTTCAAAACACAGAAGACTGCAAGGGAATGCGTATAGCGAACATAACCTGCGTTTACTGCAGAAGCTATACAGCATTCTGTGGTATGTCAACAAAACCACTCCGAAGTTCGTATTTTTTTACAATACTCCAATTGTAACCCTTTAATACTACATTGATCTCGTCGTCTCCTGTGACGGAATGCGAATAACAGCCAACTCGCTTCGAACAAATGACAATACCCTCCATTCTGTTCACATCCATCAATTTTCCGCTTTCGAAGACCACTCATGCACACATGAAAATTCATTCTCAGCGTAGAAACCACAATTTCAAGTATGCAATTCTGCGTCGAAACCAATCGATTTCGACGATGAGTCGACAAGAAAATTGCACGATGAGAATAAATAATACGGAAGAGGGTGACCGATCACTCAATAAACCAGTTCAACAACAGTCTATCATCTGTACATGTTACAAATATAGCAAACAGGAAGAGAAAGAGAAAAAAAAACAAAGGATTATGGTCGCTGGCCTAAGGCACACTGCTTTTCATCAGCTCTTACACAGGGAGACGCAATGACCTGGACATTAATGCGATGTCAAAAGCTGTTACGGCCTAGAATCGCCAAGGTCCAGATGAACTGCTTCACAAAACTCCGTCCTCATTCGAATAATAATGTCTACCATATGTAAAAAAATATTCGAAAGGAAACGGTTAGAGGAAATGAAAGAATAAAACGCCGAAAAAATAAAATTAATAAATTTATACCTCAAACGAGATCTAGCCACGACAGACAACGGACAACTAGTACAAAACCTGTAAACAAATCGACTGCTCTATCAGAAAAGTCCAATTGTGATGCAGGAAAAACTCGTACAGAAAAGAACGAGTGCGGTATCATTCAGAAGTAGACGAGCCAATTAAACCAGTTGATAATTAGCATAATCTTTTGCATCCATGACGGTGTTGATCACCTCCCTCGACTTAGAGAACCATGCTTTCTATAGAAATACCCCCGGATTATCCCTCTTCACTTCGCTCTAAGCTTTATCGCTTTCTAAGAATATACTGTCTCCAAAATCATCCCACCTCGTTGGGCCATCAACAACAAGTCAATATTTACATGAGCAGTATAACTGGCTGGAGGGTCATGGACAACAAAAGAAAACTCAAATCTCTTCAACCGTTCCATTAAAACCGGTAAAAAACTTAAAGTAAAGGGAATGATTGACAAGTACGAATAGAAAACCTGGAAAAGCTTCAAGTGAACAGACTAAATATGTATATCGCGATAGGGGAAGTGGAATGAAATGAGAAATTCAATGGAACATACGCATTACAAAGATGATGACGATGTCAGCATAATGTGAAAAACGTACAGCAAATAAAGTAAACCTAAACCACCTACCAGGCAATCTCTAGGATCAACTGTAAAGCAGAACATTGGTCATTACAAGCTTGAACAGTTCTGAGCGATTACTCCGGTACCCGGTCAAATTACCGGGTGAGTAATTAATGTGGATGAGTCTGCACTGGACCCTGTAACGCTTCAAATTTGCTGTGCTCGGTAAGTAGATATTCCACGATCTGTCCCTGCATGATCATGTTGAAGGCTAGGTGCGAATTCGACTGCACCGGTGGCGCTTCGTCCTGAAAACAAAAGATATCCATAATTTCTACCTTACAAAAATTAGGATACGCCCAATATCGCCCAATGGGAATGTGCAATGGCATACAAAGTATCTGAGAGTACATAATACGTGATCGCAAAATATGAATCAGAAGAGATGAGATTCTTTTTTTCTGGAGGAATAGGTTGGCAGAGTAGTGGAACTGGGGTCTCCATCTAATTCGTACTCCCCGCTACAACGAATACGCCTAAAGCCACACAATCGACTGTTTAGATATCGGCAGCTCACTTTTGCTCAGAAATGATCAAATTATGAAGATCTTAACATAGGGCCAACCTAATCATGAGTGTATATATAAACGTGGTCATGAGTGTATGGATAGTCCCATCTCCTTACCGGTGCTTCATTCTAAATGCAAAACTACACTAAATGAATTCCCAGCGCATTCGATTCCTATTTTTCTAAATCAGAATCTTCCCATCACAACATTCGTTGTAAAAAGTCAACCGAATTCGTTGTAAAAAATCCAACCCACGCAGCTCTGCACTCCTCGATTCCTTTAAGCGATTGTCAACAAATTTGAACTACATTTATAATGGAGTTTACTTATGGAAGGGTGAATTGGTATTTGATTATTTTTACCTTTTTATGATCTTTCTTCTTTTTCCCTACGTCTTTCTTCTTTGCCGGTGCCTTTTCATCTCCACTGTTAAATAACGTCGGACCAAACATTATAGCCAAATTATGCGTTTGCATTCGATTCTTGTCCGAGTGTGAGGCAACCCTGAATATCGTCAATGAAAAAAAAAATATTATCATTTCTCACAAAAATTGAAAATCTGCGATCCAGAGCAAAATACGATTCTAGTGACCTTTTTGCATAAACAAAGTCAAAAAAGTGAAGGCTGAGCTCAATGACTTCGAGTTCACACTACCTTTGCAAATGTCGGAGCAACATTTTCAGTGTCTCCCTGTTCTCTGCCGGCAACATTCGAAGGAGTTCGTCGAATCGCTTGAAACGTTGTCTTGGATTTTGCAATTCTGAATGAAAGATATGAGTACAACGAATATTCCACAAGACACTGGGTAGCATAAAAGAGCATTTCCGTCAAACTCTAGCCTCCCATGAAATCGTCGACATGAACTTAAAATATTGAAAAATAATAGCGAACAAGTATCGACTTAAAGTGCCAGTGCCACAACTGGCCAAACAAAAAAAACGACAGCAACATACTTACCAAAATCATACCTTATCAGTTAGTATTCAAATCTATTCAACTACCCTGACCCCAATGCAGAAACATAGGAAAACAAGTAAAGTGCTGTGAAACCAATGAAAATATTGGACACCCTTATTATAATACTTAACTTCCAAACTACTCACTTATGGCGTTCAGATAATCTTTCGTCATTGAAAGAGGGAACACGGGCTCTGCCAGTTCACGAAAAAACAGCTTCAGCGCTCCTGTCAGAACGTGCACATCCTCTTCATTTACTAGTGCATTGTACTTGTCTGAAACCAGCTAAGTTCCACTCATTACTCCAAACGACACCGTAATCCAAACAGTGTCCAAAGAATATCTTGAGGTCGCAGTTGCACTTACCTTGATCCACTTGACAACGAATTCTTTGCACAGCAGACAAGTTGCCGCTCACCCTAAAACAACGATGTTATTGAGTTCGCTTACAAAATTGTTGAGGAACACGCCAGCAAATTGGAACACTACTAGTTAAGAGCCTGAACAGGTCACATTCGTAGAAACAATAAGACAATAATAACAGCAAAAAGAAAACATTAAAAGGGTTACAAATACAATCCAAATTTTGAGTTCACGCAAGGCGCCATAGGTGAAAGTCGGCAAATCTAAGAGCAGAAAATGCATAGATGCAGACTTATTCAAAAACTGACCTATAAAGTCCATCAACCTCCATCCCTCGGCTTTCAATCAATTCTGTGACTACACGAATAAATTTGGGTACTAGACTGTTTTCCAGCTGACATATTGCTGACAACGTACTGCCAAATACCGGTTCATCTGAAAATGTTATTTGATTTACAGGACCTCTACGAACTCACTTCCCCTTTGGGAACTTTTACACATATGACTCACGCTTATAAATTCCCTTCTCCTTGAGAGAATCAACGCTGGGACGATTTCGGAAGAATCGAATCAATTTTTCCAATATCGATTCTCTTGATGGTCGAGGTTCCTCAACAACACAATTTGTTACCGGCAGAGTAGTCGTTGTGCTACATTCAATCGACGAATGGGCCATTGGATCGGGGCGTGATGACGGCGTATGTACAAGGCGTCGACTGAAATTTGTGGCCATTTAAATTTACAAGAAATGCTGAAATCATTCCTCCGATAAAAACATGAGCCATCGCACACCTGGGCCACGCATTTGTACAGTCAATTCTGTCCAAAGTCATAACAACATTCACTCAAAGCAATACTTCAAAACAGATGAAACCTTCGTTTTTAGAGCATTTGGCCCGACGTGCCTTTTGTTCTTTCTCAGTGATACTTACCGTCAAAACATTTTCGATCAAGCAAGGAAGTACTTGTAAGGGCTCGCAGTTCTAATCGGGAAATTTCAGCCTTACCATATCATACAGAAGAATAAGACAACAGAATAAAAACAAGTTGGCAATAAAAAGAACTAACTAAATATTAGTGCAACGTATAAACCAGATGTAAACAAAATAAAAACCAAAACATCAAATTGTAGCCAATCAAAATTTCAAAATACTCATTCCTGCAGCGATTAAGAGGGAGGCTCAGGAATCTTACACTGATTTCGATACCCACAGCCGCACGCTCTTGGGAAAAAACGCTTAAAATTCCTCACTTATTGATCATTGTCGTCGAATGAGGCCTAGTGGACAACGTAGACGGATTGCGAACAACTGCACAAGAAGAGTCAAGCACGGCTGGATGAATGGGAAGGCCAGAGCACGGTACCGCCGATGGCTGGAAAAGTCAACATTGAGAACCAACTAAAGCAAATCGGAGCCATAAAGGGCCATTTAGACCCATCATAATCGTAATGTATCATTTGATGCCAAATCGTCAAAAAAATCATTAGCTCTTCCCATAGCAGACGGTAATTTCACAAAAAAATGAAAATGAAAATGAAAAAATAGAAGCAAACATCGAGCACCTGGTGGTAAAAACACTATGACTCACACCAGGGAAGGCAAAAATTTTGACGCTTTTCGTCAATGTTTTTTAGACTCTGCTTAGCGAGTTTGTAAGCTTTAAAATATGGAAACTGAATAAATAACGCAAGTTCTGATGTGAAGATCTCGGAATAAAACTGAATTTTCTGCAATATAATGCATTTGCAGGTTTTTGCAGAGTTCACTCCACGGAATCCGACCGCTTTGCAATAAGCGAACTGTCCCACAGAGCGCACATTTTATATTCTCATTAGAATGACCGCTTACTATGGAAACCAATTCGCAGCGCTGATTGTACGGCTCTACAGTGGAGCCTTCGCATGATGTGATTTCATTTTTGTACTGACACATTGCTAACATTAATGGCATAATTGGAAAATGCTACCTGTAAGGAATAAGCAGTTCGAAATTTATCATTTAACAGTTCGGAAAAACCAGGAAAAACCAATCAAACATGCCTTTTGCCTGTGTTCCATTGGAGCGGAATAGCTCCGCTGAAACAGTCCTATAGTCCTTCGAGCAGGTATCGGTCGCGGTTCCATGATGCGCTAGTGAATTTAAACTATTAAAACTAAGCCGGCTCAAAAAAAGAAGCTGTTTACAGAAAGCTGCGACATTTTTAAAGATATCAATACAAGGGAACCAGCGAAACACGTCAATACATAGGAACCGCTGAAATACGACTGTCGTCACCAGCACTAATCGCCTCATGTAAACTCGTTCCTCAAAAGAAGGCCTCAAAGTAAAGATGCGCATCTATTACGAAGGATTATCGCCATCATTTCGCTACCGGAGCTCAACAAATGTCTTCGTTTCATTTCGACGTTTCTCCTGGAGCCCCTATCTATGCGTATCTCTCAACACTTTTTTTGATTTATTCATTCCTGCAACCAGTATGTAATGACACCGAGAGATGTGAGCAAGGTTCGAAGGAAATCAACAAACAACTAGCCCTTCCAAAAGCAAGAGCAAAACGCAACATTAAGTGCCTTATTTGAGAGGAGCGCTTTTCTTTAACACTGCAATTTCCCAGTACATTAACAACTACGAATTAAGGAAAACACACCAAACCTACTACGACGATAAAAGCAATTGGAACTCTAGGGAGCCTTGAAGCCTCGAGCTCTTGAAATTTTTAAAAGCAAACAACATGCAAACAATAATAGGAATGCAAGAAAAAAGCAGCGCGTCTACGGATACCTCATTTGCGGAAATGACCACCATTTTAAGTATAACAATTTACAATACAGGAAATACTTTGAGCCATCCAAAAACACACAACAAACACTTCCTTTCTTCCGCATAATTTTCCAGAAAGTGAACTAATGTTGTCAAAAACCCGCTGAATTTAGTAAATTATACTTCAACAAAGGGCGGAGGTGGTGTAGCGGCAAGTGCCGCACTTCACACACGTATGGTCACGGGTTCGAATCCCGGACCGATACCCGCCCAGGCCAACCAGGCCTTCCATTTCTTCGAAGTCGGTTAATTGGTACCAGACTCATGTGGAAGGATGAAAGCACTGTCTTGAACATCGGTAGCTGCAAGTCAGTGTATAGGCTACATACGCAATCATTACGCCACTACGATTCTGAATGGAAGTCGAATGCGTGGGCGCATCCCTCAGATTGGATGGATTAACGCCCTAAGACTTTATCCTTTAATTTAACAAAAAATAGTGCAGAAGAAATAGGAACAGTGAAATATCTTGAAATTGGTGGTCTCGAAGCCATGACTTATACTAGTCAGTATTCACTGATTACTTGAGGTGATTAGCCCACGAAGTCTATACATATATCTCAAACTCAACGAAATATCACATAATGAATATCCGGTCGTGGATTTGTTCCTAAGTCCACTAATACTTAATGAAAGAAAAGCTCCTATTCAACACAAGATCCCTTCAAACTAATTCACACCGTCAGTAAAATCTGGCAGGTGGATGTCACCTCATCAACAGCGCTATAACGTGGCGCCAATTAATGTACGGCTTTTTGACGAGGTAAAAAACGCTGGCCTGACAGCGCGATAATGGCCTCGTTCACCGCCGTAGCTTAACGACTACAGATGATATCTCGTTCAATATGAAGCCAGAATCCAAGTAGATTGAGAGCTATTTCATCGACGCTTTAAACTTCAAAGTTACTCGTACAACCTTGAGGTAACCTTTTCAAACATTTGACGGGTTGCAGAAGTAAATCGATAGTTTCTACACCACTGAATTACAAAAAAAAATTCGCAGGTATCACAGCAATGACCGAAGGGTTGGGTCCAGGTATATGCGAAACGTAGTGCAAACAAACACGTATGTGGTAAACATCACAACATTTTTCTTATTTGTACACATCATTCGAGTGTGCTTTAATCCATAGTATAAGTCAGCGCTTACCAGCCGCGCGATCACATCCCTCAGCGCGTCAAACCACTCCTGCGTTTCCATGTCATTAGCTGATCGAAATAGATACCGGCAGCCGTTGCAGAGTTCAAGCTAAACAAAAACACCTTACACTGGTCGCCGCAAACTTCCACTCTTGCATCTGAGAGTCATTTTAGGATAAATATTNCCTGTTTGCTCTCCAGCAGGATAAGATTAATGTTTGTTTTCGACGTCAACGAATAAAAAGAAAGAAACTATTTTAAACGACGTTTTCGCAAAATCTCATCAAGCTAGAATTACTAGACGCAGCCAGAGAAGGGTATTGGGATCAGACTGCTGTACTACACGCTAATATCGTCTGTTTCAATAAGCTGAACTATGCTCACCTGTATAATCTTCCTTTTCCTCTTATCTTTTTCCATAACAAGCCAACTGACACTCGCACCTTTCAAATCACATACGCCACGAGGGGCCGCATAGTGATTACCATGTTTCTGCATTAAAAACCAGTTACTTCGAGCATACATAAAAGCTGCATCAATTGATTGAACGCGAAGCATTCAATTAGTTTAGTAAGGAAGGATGACAAAGAGAAAGTAGTTTTATAGCTATAAATGGAGGTGTTCCCTCAACGTAAATTTCCAGAATCATGAAAAGAAAAAGTAATGATCTATGAGCTATCAAAGAATGACTTTTACCTCAGCGCTCTTCTCGTCTTTGTACAGGATCAAATGCGCCGATGTCAGGTACATGAAATTAACAACCCAATCACGTTTCTTTGACTTCATCTGAAAAACAAGGTTTCAACCTGTCCACTTTCAAGTTTCGCTTTTTATTATTTGCAAACATGCAAGAAGCATCCAACGATTTTCAAATTGCTGGCGATTCTCGTAAAATCTTACATTACTTGAAAAAATATTGGCAAAAAAACTATTGTAAATGTAAAACAATGTTGTGTAGCAAGGTTAACAATATTTCAAATTGATAGTAACCGGGACAATTGATTACCTGCTCAGCAGATTCGACCAATTCCAAATTTCCACATTTGATTGTTTTCACCGACTCGCGCGATTCAATACAGCCACTGGTGCTTCCACGGCGATCACTAGTTACATCTTCAAAGAAGATAGATATAATAGTTCATTTTCGTGCTTCCAGCAAACAATAACAATATGAACTAGATGTAGTTCTATAAAATAATGAACACCGAGTTTCCGTATATTTGGATAGTTTATCATCCAACATACAACAAAGACCTCAGATATATGAGTAGTCATGGTATTTAAAAGATAGGTTTTCAAAACCAATAAGCCCACCATAAACTGAGACAGGCTCTCTCTCAGGCTTTGGATGGACACGATCCAACGAGTGCGTTCCGCTGTCGGCATAAAATAAGTTTCCAGAGCTTGTCGACGGTAGGACCTGAACACTTACTCGGTTTTAAGAATGCTGTATCGTTGAACAAATGCTGATGGTGGTAATATGAAGTGAAAATGCTACAGGAGAAGCCATTTCCGTGCAAAAAAGAAAATCCCACAAGGGAACATTCGCTTTTTATCTTCCGGATCACAACTGCGACTGTTGCGCACAGTATTGTAACATAAGGTTCAAGGAATGTATATGATTAATCGTCAAGGACTAATATAATATAAGAATAAATCCAAAAATGACGGTTTTTCAAGAGCGAAAACCATATGGCTAGTCCTTATTCAGTCAATAAAGTAGAAGTACCTACACGGATACTAATAGGAAATAAAAAGAGGGTGTCTAAAGCTATGTAACAAAGCGCCGAACACCGATTGGTAAGAGTAAACACTAGTTCAACTTCGATCTTGCTTGCTGTTTTCAGATCAAGCGTGACCATATGCTTTCAAGGCTTGTTGAATTTAAGAGCGGCACTTGACCTGAAGGCACACTGACAAGTTCGAAGAGTAGAAACTAGCTCTAGCTCAAGATTCTAATTGAGTAATAACATAGCCAACCTGAGGTAAAGGCACATTCTTCAGAGAGCAATGTCTTTTGTTAAAAGAATGGGATCGCTCCGCCGCCACGACTGACGCAGTGTGTGTTCGGTTTTGCTTACTGCTGTTCTAAAAATCGTGAATCATGGCAAAAACAGAGGGGAAATGAAACTCTGTATTTGAAATGATCCTTGGAATGAACTACGTACCTGCCTTAGGCTCAAACCCAAGGGATCTGGACCGATGTGTGCGTGGAATGATGACAACATTGCAGCGTCGTCACTGCTTGAGGTTGCGTGATGGTAAGTGGGGAATGGTGGCGAGTTTTTGAAGTCCTTTGAATTGTGATTACTTCAGATTATAAACAGCAACGCAGTTAAGGGTACTCTAAATCAAGAGACATGCTACTGAAAATTCTGACAAAAGATCTCGGGGTTGAAGATGATAAATTCAGAGAACCACTGATGAGGACATTTCCCCATACCAACGAATAAAACCGCAAACGAAAAAGAGCAAAGCGGAAATCTCGATGCTCCTTCTTTCGACCTCTGTTTAAGTTTTGTCATGACAACTCATAGTCTCGAAAATTGCTTGGCAACCATAGAGCACCACTCTCAGCTATCAAAATGAGTTGGCACACGAATCGTACTACAATGCATTCCCGAAGCATTGATTACTACAAAAGAGGTCCCAGTTCGCACAACATGAAGAATATGAACAACTGTTGACTTGCTGAGTTCAGCGAAAATTCTTGTAATGAAAATCAATCACTGAAAACAAAAGTGCACGACCCTCAGCCCATCGTTTGGTTCGTGGTCTATGATACAAACAGATACAATGAAATTGCAGAGCAGCACATAATTTGGCATTCAATGCATCGAAAGAATTTCTGCCACGTCCCACCTTCGAAGCGCGCCAGAGGGGTATGTGCATATTTCGAAACATCTACTGTAATTCTACAATTGATTCAGCCAATGACATCCTCCTCGTGCAAATAGGGCTGTATGCTACCGCAAATGAGAGAATATGAAGGAGTGAAATGCTCTCGAAAGAATAAGTTAGACCGAAGTAAAAATGTTTTCAGAAAATGTATGTACAGACAGCAAGAATCAACTAAGCACTACCTGCTCGACACTGTGTTTTCTTTCGGACAACGCAGTCGTTTCCACCGGAGCCTCATCGAACTGGCCAGCACGGGGCGATGATGAAATGTCTAACGAAGAATTATCCTCGGCAGAATGGGAATCTTCTCGCTTCAGCGAACATGTCGTGAAGTTTTCATCGACTTCGTTACGAGTGGCTTGAAGTATAGCCTATAATCACTTAATTACCTTAATATCACAAATGCTCACTATGAACGGGAGAATCAGGACATAAGATCGATCACCCGTTGAATCTTTGCATATGTGAATCTTCAACAATCGCTGGCTTGACTTTAAAACCTTGCTGTCTGCCAATCAATCTTTACTAACGCCTCATTGATCTTTCACTCATGTCAACTGCTTCAGAAAGAAAAGCTGTCTGAGTTGATGAATCTTTACGTAACACATGTACAATATTCTCGAAGGCGACTAATAGCAATAGTTTATCGCCTCACCTTGTATTCCGTAAAATGGATACCAATCTAGGTTTTTAATGTGACCGGTAACCTAACAATGAGTGGGCTACGCTCCTAAATAGTCTGCAGTCCGCTGAGGTGGTTTCGATCAGGCGATCACGATGTTATTGATTGGATAACCACCGAAATAGCGATGTGCGACTGAGACTTCCACACCGCCGAACGCACGCACACCACGACAATCGTACCTGGACTTGTGCCGGTGTTCGGATGAATCTCGGAGGGATCCACTGACTTTTCCCGGTTTCGAAATTATAGAAATATGTTCTGAAAATGACAACAAAAGTCAAGGAAAGAAAACACTGTATGACAGAAACCGATGACAGAGAAATGTTAGTGACCCACCTTCCCGCCTCAGTTTCGTACTCCATCCACCCGTTGTTAAGATTTCGTCGTGGCACATCTGCAACATCTGGAACCGGCGGATACGGACGATGATTCAATTCGTCCATTTCTTGGATATTTGTGTAGATGTGTTTGTCATCGTCCTGTTGCGATGAGCACAGCTCCGGTGATGCTGAGCAGCTTGTAATCTGTAATGGGATCCACTTATAGGTATTTGTAAAATGAAGATCACTTAATAGACTTGAGGTTGAAATTTTCGGAGCGGCCCAGCACTCCTACACTATGCGTTGTTTACGGTTGTGGCTCATATTTCGACTTCTTGTGAAAAAAAACAAGATGTGAGGAGATCTAGATACTTGTTGACCACAATTTCATTACAAATCGATCATGAACACCTAACCGCAGTGAACAACATTCTGCGAATTCATCGGCTATCACTAATCATCGGCGGACGAATGAATGAAAGAAATATATAGATACAACTCATGGTTTAAAAGCCATGCTTTTCACACGATCTTTCGAAAACAAATATTTTATGAAAAGTAAATAAATAAATATGAACAGATTACAATCGGAACAACATTGAATGCAGAGCGGTTGATGAAATATTTGGCTGAAGAAAAATCCGTGTCAAAACGTAGTCCATAATACACGCTCTTAAAAAGTTTTAAGCATTTGCTCATCACGATATTCTAAGACTTCTATGTACTAAGTATTTATGGAGGTGGAACGGGCATTTATGAATGATATAAGCTTCAAAGCCTCTTGAGAGGGAGAGGAAAGTCGAGCTTGAGGGAAAAAATTTTGAAAAACAAAAAAGCCCGAGTTCTTCGATTCCGAAGGCATGGATAATTAGATGCAGACATAAACGTATCCGCTATCACCGTATGCTTCCTAATCCGGAATAAAACAACTGCATAAACTTACTTTTTCATTGGAGATGCTCCTCGAGTCAGCATCATAGGTTCCCGAATCCTCCAGCTTCAAATCATCCAAATGGCTCGTTGATTGAGTATCAGAAATATTCTCATATATCGTTGAAGTCGATGACGCTACCGTAGCCATCATTATCATAAGAGCAACGATGAATACATATCTTCTGAAGTATCGTACTATAATCGGAAGTAGAATCGCAAAAACGATCAGCAATCGATAACATAACAAAATCGCCGCGTCGGACAGCGCCGTGATCGTGACTCAGTTCAGATAGCAAGCGAGCCGCGTTCTTCCGTCGATGTTCGGAAGTTTTAGCATTCATATAATATTCGATTACGCCGAATGTAAACGATTACAATGTCGAACACATACATGTACACGACGTAAACAGTGAGCTCATTTAAAGTGCATTTTCCCAAAGGCGGCGACATCTCACCGAAAGCATTGCTGAGGAATAAACGGCGAAAATCGATACGTTGAAATGAGAACAGATGAAAGGTACGGAGAAATTCATGCCCAAACTTTCCAGAGCATGAGATACGATACAGCCCTAATAGAGGACCAGTTAATGAATTACCTCGGCAACTTATTAAAAATCATCAAAACAATGAAGAAGACGTCAATATTTGTGTGTCATCAGCCTTCTCAAATCTGATATTACCCACTTTGATATCAAAATCGCTTTCGAGTAGAAAACAGTTCATTTATACAAAAATCCAAGCATAACTACAAAGTAATTGCTCAAGACCACGAAATAGCTTCCTACTAAACTCATTTCGTCCCCAACAACAAGTAGTAGAAGCAAACTGAGTACTAATTCTGTACATTTCATCTGGATATCTTGGCGTTCCATGCAGAGAAGCGCAGATAACAGGAATCATTGTAAAAATAAACTCGAAACCATGTCCAACTTCCAAAAAAAAATCTGATTGCAAGTTTCAAACTACAAATTGTCGCAAAGCAAAAAAGGCGACGCTGTTGGAGGGGACGACATGGGCGACATGGCGATAGACATCGTGTTATGCAAATGGACCACTCAACAAACATGATAACACCACTTTAACTCCGCTTCAAATTCTCACCCTTGCACACACACATTTCACACACTCCCACTTTCACAGTTTCGAAAGATAACCTTTGTTTGAAATTCGAATGCCCCTCCCGGATCACCACTAAAGTTCTACTTTCCAATAAAAAGATACCAAAGCCCGTGGGCTAGCAGCTACTTGGTTACGACTCAACCTAGTGAAATAACGAACAAAAAAGACTGTAAGAAAACATAAGAGGACTTAGAATAAACAACAAAGATAAGCAAAGAGCAGAAGTGAATGCCGAGGTATTCCAATAGATTAAAACAAAGCATTACATGCAAAGTAACAAGCAAAGCAAGTGGCAACAAATGCCCAACCGCCATTGAAGAAGAAAGGACTCGAACATATGAGCCATGGATCGTTATACAATAGAATAAGTAAAAAAACATACCAATAAAATTCTTACTCTCAAAAAAGAAGTTTGCAATTTCTTAAAGACTCCGCTATGGGAAACAAATAATTGCTTATAGGTTATTCTGATGTTAGGGTTGGCTAATCGTACAGAGCTCATCTGATGTATAAAAAAGGTAATAAATCATCCTAACATCGATTATATACACCACATGTTTCCAGATTGGGTGCGTTTCGAAAGTTCAAGTCTGGTCTAGAGGAACAATATCCAAGAAATCCAATAAACAATTCACTGGGGTCAAACCCCTTAGCACAACAACCGGACATCAGCTTGAACTCCGCGTCTTGTGGAATAAATAAACAGAATTACTATAATTATCACCTATAAATCTTTAAAACTCAAGAGAAGCCTAAATGGAATAGAATTCATTGAATTGAATACATTTGTCGTTAAGCGTAAAATTAATTAAATCGATTGAAAATAAAATGAGAGGTCGGATTGGAACCCTTTTTTTCGAAAAGGAATATGCGAAGGAATGTCCACGAAATAATCCCACTCGGTCATCAGCAAAGCTAGTACCTCTTGAAAAGCCGCTTTAGGACGTATATACGCAATGCAAACACTACGCCGATACTAACGAGGCGGTATCGATTCTGCCCCATCTACGATGTCCGGGAACGGTCCGCTCCGAATTCATTAGTACATCCACCTTATGAAGGCAATTAAATGCGATCAATAACGATCAATATTGGGGATTAATTGAATGACCTTTTAGAAGGCTAGGCAAACATGTGGCTAATGCAAACATTTTTTTTNTTTTTTTTGACGAGTAAGAAAACTCTACTGAGGGGTGCAAGGTTTCCACTGACGATGAGTAAGTGGAAAAAAAGTTTTCTCCCCAAATACAACACACTCTTTTATTTTATATAAGCAATTTCAAATCCAACCAAACCAAATAACATTCCCAAAGTAGTGCAAACGACCATCCAAGATTGCTTTTCAAATGTAACTACCGAATATTTGGAGTGTAGGTATAAATTGTCACTGCACAAGGGAGGCCAATAAACCGACCCGATAACTGTAGATACTGCAAACTCGTTTACAAGTTTTGCGTACAACATTCCGTACATTTACGGACATTTCGGGTGTCTACCGTAACCCAGTGATTGTTGTTAGGATGTTGTGATTGATCTATGAATGATAGATTGAAGGATAAATGGAAAAAAGCAAAAGCTGCCCCAGAACGATCTTCTCTCAGCGCTACATGTCCCCTCATTCCAAAACTGGCTGCCCCGGAACAAGTGCTGCGACGTCGCAGACCAATCAATACGTAAGTTTTGTGCAGGGCCCCTCCCTCATCAGCTACGTTAGCCCACTAATGGAGTCTCATCCAGACACAGGACATCAATCTTAATCATTCAGATATCTTCGTAAGCAGATTAAAGCAACTCCTTTTGGCAAGGCTCATTTCATACTACAGAGGCAATATCACCTCCCCCAGACATCTACTTGCTCTTCTACTGCAATTTTCTGGTTTCCGCAGCTTGGATAAGGCTCATGGAAGACATGGTACACAAAACTTCTATGAACCTCGTGATGCTGTTTATCCGGACTGCAAGTTATTCGCACCTGGCACCTGGACACGGCGCAACTGTGATCAAACTTTTGAAAATAACTCGAGAAAGAATGTTGTATACACAGCCTTTCCCTGGAATTACGGTGTTTATCGATGACAAAAAACTAGGCTACATCAGCAAAAGTAGATAACGAGGTGAATTAAAGAATGATTCTCACATTGGCCATCTTGAATAACAACGGAATAGTACTTCGCAGATAACCCAGCATCCACCTGCTTTCCGGTATTTCCACATTTTGCAAAGTAAAAAATCTCCACTTCGGGCAAAAATGAAGTAAATGGTGCCTAAGTGCGGCGCTGAAAATATAACTATCCAAGGATCGAACCACGGGTCGACATACGCCAAGGTCAATGGAATTCCACTCTCTGGGGAAGGATGATTGATATCAGACTTATTCGAGAGCTTAAAAGCGCCAAAGTATACTTTGTTTGAACCGATAAGTCGTTCAGTAGACCAAATAACCACTGAAACACCTCTACGGTTCTAAGTTGGAAGCGGAGTGTGTTTGCGCACCCCAAAGTAATCAACAAAATTTGCTGTTAGGTTATTTTATACACCTTACTCTTTAGCCTAACCTCAACCTCTCAAAACTATTAAAGCAACACAAAACCGAAAGCAGAGTAGCAGTTTCAGCCAAACGACTTCCTTTAAGAGCCTGGGGAAACCACTGAATACAATGGAACTTCATAGCAATAGTCCGAATCGTTTGAAATAAATGCTTACCATAATACTATATTACACATGAGCCGGAATGTTCCAGATGACACGATTTTTTTTTCAAAACCATAAATCGAAGCAGATCGTTTGACGCACCATGCATAACACATGATCACCGTGCCTGCTGTTACGCGACCGAGATACTGCCCCAATTCTCATGGAATTTGATTTATAGGACCACCATTTGGAGGAGGGACGCTACTGATTCAGAAGCGACTATGGAACTGGACTAATGGTAAGAAATGCTTTGATCCCACTTCGCGCTGGTAACGGATCGGCCTCAGAAGTCTTACATCGCCCCTAACTAAACTCAATCGCCCATGTCTATGAAGGCAAGTGAACAACTAAAACCAAGGACCGATAAGAATTTATCC